TATATATATATATATGTCAGACATACACACTGCCCATAGGCCACATATATGTCAGACATACAGACTAGCTGTCCAGAGACATCTGATCCACGTACCTGGTCCACCTTGAGATCCTCGGGCTCAGTGTTTGCCAGTCTGTTTTTCACACTGAGCACGTTGAGCACGTTGGTCTGAAAGTTCGAACCCTGGCCCCTGGGGAGAGAAGTGCAAGGAAATAAGGTCAAAGGTAACACTGATCACATGAATGTGAGGCGTGCTGACAAAATGAGTTACTTCTTGCAATACGCAAATAATGGAGATATTGGCTAAAAATCGACATTAAGGTCAAATTTGTAGATTTTCTATTGATGCCATATTCTTTAAGTACAAAAAGCCTTTTATTATTTCATACTCATAAACAGTAAAAACTCCACCAACAAGCGTGACGTATCTGTTTCCACAGGTCTCGAATCCCAGAAGTAACTCATTTTGTCAGCTGCCTTCACAAATATTTACACTCTTGCACAAACACACACACACACACACCCACACACACATACACACCCACCGACACACCCATTCACACACATACACACACTCCCTCACAAACACACCCACCCACACACCCACTCACAAACACACACACACTCCCTCACAAACACACACACCCACACACCCACTCACACACATACACACACTCCCTCACAAACACACCCACCCACACACCCACTCACACACATACACACACTCCCTCACAAACACACACACCCACACACCCACCCACACACCCACTCACAAACACACACACACTCCCTCACAAACACACACACCCACACACACAGATACACATCCACCCAGTGTCGTTCGTCCTTCACATAATCTGAAGATGACCATGACTTCACAAATTGGTCTGTTGACGGTGACTGGGGGTCCGGAGATGGCTGATTAGTCCTATCCGGGCTGGAAAGGTTCGCCCTCATTGTGGGCACGGATAGTCTGCTGTTGGACTTGTGGTGGAGGCAGGTCTAGACTTGTGCACATTGCGTTTTTGTTTAGCCTCGGCGATTCGCTTGGCTTATGCTGCTTTGGCTCCCTTTGTTAGATTGCAGGGCCACGCCGGACGATCTAGGACCAGCATTTCCCACGTGTCGTTCAGGATTCCAAGTTCCTTTAGAGAGACTTAGAGGCAGTCCTTGAAACATTTTTTCTGTCCTCCAACTGTCGAGCGCTTGCCATGGAGCAGCTCTCCATACATCAACTGTTTGGCCAACCGGCTGACCTTCAAAATTTAATGAGCCAACATCTCAATTTGCATAGTTTGACCAAAAACCGGCCATATCGAGGTTGGCTCCTCCTGGTATCATAACAACGTGGATCTTCATGTATACCTACTTTAGCACCTCGCTGTATGTCCCCGGCACACATACACATACACATACACACATAGACACACACACACATACACATGCATATACACGCACATATGTGTCACGACATGGTGGAATCAGGCGCTTGTCAATTTTTGGGCATGTAGAGATATTGGTATTATCTGAAAGCCGATTTATCTTGAATAGAACTCAAGATATTCGCCACTGAAGGAGGTGAGGTCGCCTCGTTTCAGTGTTGAAATTAGCGAGAAAATGGCTGCCAAAGTTAGGTAACTCCAATAGCTAAAGAGTCTTTGAAAACTGAAAAAATGACACATTTTATGCTTTTAATCAATGTTTTTCAGTAAAATTCATATATGGAAATGTGCTGTTATATGGATATAAAAGAGGTTGAGCCAAAAAAAAAAATTCGATAACAATTCAGAAACTGGCAAACAACTGCCTCTTTCTCCAATTTCGTCATTTTGACGAGCGCTTGATTTCACCATGCTGCCGCACATACACACACACAAACAGAAACACACACAAAACGCACACACATACACACATACACCAACACCCACAAACCCACACAAACAGATACACAAACAGACACACATACATACTTAGACATGAGCAGCTCCAAGATATCCTCCTTAGCTTGCTGCAGAAATAGACAAAGATCTACACAAATACACAAACACTCACAAACCCACACGCACACAAACAGATACACACACATACACAAACATCCACAACCACAAAACCGCACTCTCAAACAGACACACACACATACTTAGACCTGAGCAGCTCCAAGATATCATCCTTAGCTTGCTGCACAGATAGCGATCTACACAAATACACAAACACCAACAAACCCACACACACACAAACAGATACACACACATACACAAACACCCACAAATTCGCACACACATACATACTTAGACATGAGCAGCTCCAAGATATCCTCCTTAGCTTGCTGCAGAAATAGACAAAGGTCTACACAAATATACAAACACCCACAAACCCATACACACAAACAGATACACACACCCACACAAAGACAGATACACACACACACACATACTTAGACATGAGCAGCTCCAAGATATCCTCCTTAGCTTGCTGCAGAGCCAGGTATTGAGCCGACGAACACATGTACGTTCCCTGCATGCCCTCGCAGTACACCAGGAACTTGAACGTTTGATTGGTCAGCCTTTTCCCTTGTCGCACCCAGTGGCGGTCAGACAGACTCACGTTGAAGGGCAGCAGGTGGGGGTAGAATGGTCTGGGGGACGAGTGGTCACCCTACAGACAAGACAAAAGACCGAACAAAGGACATTAATTGGGGGCTCCAGTGGCTAAGTAAATAGTGAGTTTAGACTCAAGTAATGTCAAACAAGTGTCGGTGACACGGGGATCAGATGGGTGGTCACTGGGGGGTGTCCTTGAGCAAGACACGACAACCCCAGCTCAAAATACAGGGCAATTGCATAGTGGCGACCGACAGTGGCACGGTTGTAGACTGTTCTGTAATTGTGTAATATGGTGTATTTATGAATGTATATGTGCATGGATTTATGTATGTACATAATTATAATTATGTACATAGGTATGTGTATGTATGTTTGCCATGTACAAACAAACTAGACTCACAGTTACCTTCTGGGACAAATAAAAGTGTAATGTACCTATTTATTTATTATAATCCCTCAAATAAAAATACAGTCAAACAGGCTGTAACGGCTATCTCTATCAGGCAATCAGCACCTGTTCAAATGGCTACTTACAATTTGTGAGACCTGCTGACAAAATGAGTAACTAATGAGTGGGGGGGCGGCGCGGCTAAAGTGCCGTCAGTACGCTAAGCGACTCGAGAACAGATCTTCAATTTTAGCTTAGATTCTATTCCAATCCACATATCCATCTTAAAATAAAGGTCATAATATATTGTTGACTTTCGGGTCAAGCATTTCCACTGAAAATTGGGAATTTAGATTCAGATTTGCAACGCGATTTCGTAGTTTATTCGACTTTGTTTTATCGCGATGCCAAAATTATAGCCCGGACACCAGTCTTAGTACTTTTACACAACAAAATCTATAATTATTTTGCCGACTAAAGAAATGTAGGGCTCTTTTTTATAATATTGATACGATTGGATTCATATTGCCAATGCACTGTTATTGAGAAATCAATATATTTATGAGTGCTAGATCTAGATATCTAGGTCTAGATCTAAATTGTCCAAATATTTTTTTTCTCCCCAAAATCACTACTTTTTGATGAAATTACACAAAAGTGCCACTCACGACATGTATAGGTTTATTCCAAAAGCAATTCTGAATAATTCCATATAAGATACGAGTGGGTTTTTTTTTGTTCGTGATCGTTTTTCAAGATTATAAAATTTTTATTTTTTTTTTCAATATCGGATGTTATGATCCATGTACAAATATTATGGAATGTATGTAAATAACTGCAAACTTTTCAATATTTTCCAGTTTTATATTCATTTACGGTTATTTTGATGCATCATTTGACTAGGTGCAAACATATATATTTTGAGTTTCACCAAAGATTATTAATTTTTTATTTTGAAATTTTATCCGTATCCCATCAAAATAGTGTTGCATAATCGCCTCTTACAGGTACCAAAGTTGAAAAATACATAAATAAACATTACAGGTGTATTCTACAAACCATACTGAAAATATTGGTATACAATACGTTGATATTCATTTGAATTTGTGGCCCCAAAGACCTTTTAACAGCCCACTAGTCATCCTCTCTTTTGCCCTCCCGAAAAAAATTCGTCCACAAGCCGAAAATAATACGTAGCGAATGAGTTAAGAATGACATGCCTTTTATTATTTGATACTTACAGATTGTTTAAACTCCACCTATAAAGTAAATATGTGAGGCATCGTATTAAATCAGGAGCCCGTCAATAGAGTGAAATCAAAGAAATTGGCATTTTTCTGACCGTTATGCAATCTTTGTCTAATTTTCTTTTTTGGGCTCAACATCTTTTATATCCATTTAAAAACTCAGTTCTGTTTGGATTTCACTGAAAAATATCGATTAAAGGCACAAAAGACTTCAATTTTCAGTTTCCAAGGACTCTCAAGCTAAGGAAATAACCAAACTTTGGCGGTCATTGTCTCACTTATTTCACCTCTGAAACCAGGCGACCCTGACTTCCTCAATCGCAAATATTTCCACTTCAATTAAAAATAGATGGATTTTTTTCCCACCAAAAACAAGGCAAATGAACAGGCTTTAAGATGATACCAATAACTCCATACACCCAAAAATTGATGAGCAGAGCTGGTTGTAACGGAGTACAAGTACTCCGGTACTTGTACTTACGTTACAATTTTCGGTACTTTTACTGTACTCCGGTACATTTTGAGAATCAGTACTTTTACTGTACTCCGATACTTTTTATAAAAGTACTTTTGAGTACTTTTCAAGTACATTTTGAGTACTTTAGAAGCTTAATGAAAGAATAAGTGCCGACATTTCCGATCATAATTTACGGAACAAACACCCGGGCGAGCACAGCCGATCAACCAAGAGTTAAAAGTTGAGATTAAAGAACTGCCCGTCGCGTCAAAGATCAGCCACTCTTGTGACAGTGATCACATGCGCTGTAAAACTCCATGAAACGGTACAATGATCCCCAGACGGGATTATACCGAGGTGTGAACTGACCGATGGGCGTTTCTTTTCCCCCAAACATCACACTCGCATCTGAGCTCGCCACCTGAACTTTCATCCCTCACTGGGTGGGTTGGGCCTACAAATTCGCTCCAGGCAGGATCACATCGAACTGTGAACTCTTCCCTGACCATTGAAGTTGAAGGCAGTTTTTCTCTATTCCCAAAATTGCGAGACAGCCTGAATTTTAATTGGTGTGGTCACAGCGTAATAATACGTAACGACAAAGGCGGGGGGACTCAATCAGAGATGGAAGGCTACAATTTTTGGACAGGTAAAGGGGAGGGGCAACTGGATAAACGAAGATAAAGATCTCGAGATGATATGCTAATGAGTGTACGGTATAATATTATGGCTTGCCTCATGCCACCATGCTACTGTGATTGGTCATCAAGGATGACCACTCTTTGCTCGCCATATGTCATAAACCTACCCAGGGGTCACGTCAGTTCTTGGGTCACTGTAGATTCTTCCTTAGCTTCGTCGGGCTAAGATCCCATATTTCCCTTGCTCCCGAGCACTGGGATCTTAGGTGGAGACTTCTGTAGTAGAGAATTTTTGGTTACACTACACTTACTAGACTCTAGGAAATTACATGTAGGCCTATTTTGGTTTGCCGTGGGCGCCGTGGACTACACCGTGTGACCAAACTCTGTCTTACCACTATTATAATCAATTGAAACTTAAACTGAGTTCTCAATGTAAATCAATCTAACAATTTTTTAGGCTACCTAAATTTCTTTTTTCCTTTTTTTTTGTGGTTTGTGCTTAAGGCTACCTTGATTCCTTGAGGATTTGTTAAAGAAGAATTCAAAGCACTTTTTTTTTGCTGGCCATTTTCATCAATTTTTTATTTTCTTAGATCATCTTTGTCTCTACATTTTCCAATTTTGATACTTTTCCTACTTTCCGACCCCTAGGACTGACTTACATTTGATCCTATTGTCTTGCTCAAACAAATTCTATTCATGATATCACTTACTCACTAGTTGCGTCTGTTTGTTTGCTGGGTTGTTTTTTTTCAATTTCACGGACCATTTTCACCTACGTTCAGTGCGTATATTCAAATTCTTTGTATACTGTTTACATTATTAGTAATAAATGGCCGAATTTGTCAAATATACTAGATATGTTATTCAATATGATGTTTTGCATTAGCACTGAAGTGTTATAGCATATTAGCAGAAAGTACTCAAAATGTACTCATAAGTACTTTTTAAAAAAGTACTTGTACTCAAGTACATTTTACAGGAAAGTACTTTTACTGTACTTAAGTACATATTTTAGATTGTACTTAAATTTGTACTTAAGTACCTTTTTAAGAGTACTTTAACAGCTCTGTTGACGAGCGCCTGATTCCATCACGTCGTGACACATATGTCAATTGCCATAAAACGCTAAAATCCGAGAAGTAACTACTTTTCTCAGCACACCTTTCTTGCACTTTTTAACCCTATCCGTACGTCGTGTTTTACACTATCATATCCATACTACGTGGGGAACTCTGTGCCACCACTTTCCAAAGAGGAAATTTGCTTGTTAATCCGATCTGTACACTTTGCCAAAATGACTTTTTGAGAAATACTGAAAGTTTCAAAGAGATCTTCGCACTAGAAGTATTCTAAAGTGTGAAGAATACAACCCCGGGGGAAAAAAATGACCCCAGGGCCTACAGATAGGGTTAAGACACTGTGTAATATGGCCACCTGTCTAAGACGACCACTTTTCTCCTTGACAATGGGTGGCTGCCTTCAACAATGTCATATGTGGTAAATCTAAATAAATAAACAAAATACAGGAGAGGGAGATGACTGGTGTCCTTTCGGGTGAGACAACAGCAGCCCAGCAGAGACAATAAATTGTCGCTGTAAATATATGTACAACTTAGTTTGTATGTTGTGTGTCTATAAGTGTGTCTAGTTTATTGTAAGTTATGTGTCTGCCAGTGTGTGTGCCCATCAGTGTGTCTAGTTAGTATGTTGTCTGCCTATCAATGTGTCTACTTTCTATGTTGTGTGGCAATTAGTGTGTCTGGTTAATTGAATATTGTGTACTTAACAGTGTGTCAAGTTAGCATGTTGTTTGCCTACCAGCGTGTCTGGTAAATTGTATGCTGTTGGTCTGTCAGTGAGTCTAGTTTGTATGTTGTGTGCCTATCAGTGAGTCTAGTTTGTATGCTGTTGGGCAATCAGTGAGCCTAGTTTGTATGCTGTGTGCCTATCAGAATGTCTAGCTAAAGAAAAAGATAGTATACATGTCCAGCAAACCACACCGACCATATACATGTACTGACCTTCACCAGGTAGAGCACGGTGCTGTCCTTGAGCGCGCGCTGCTTACACAGGGCCATGTGTAGCTCTTGCATGTGTAGCGGAGACTGCAGGTACTCGTCACTGACAAACGCCACCACTATGTCCGAGCTGTCGATCTCGCGTCGGGCGGCTGCCTCACTCCCGCTTAGAAGTGTGGTGGAGACGTTCGGGGCCTCCATCTTCAACAGCTCGGACAAAATGGCGGCACATTTGAGTCCGTCGTGGACGTAGCTGAAAGTGACCGTACCTGTGACGTCCAGTTTCATCCAGGTGTTTTCTTTTTTGCCGACCACTTTCCCCTTGTCGAAAAAGTACTTTTCATTAAATTCGGCCATCCGGTGCCGAGACAGAGTGTCCTTGATCTTTCCAATCTGCAAGTGCTGAGGAAAAGACAAACAGAGACAGAGAGAGAGAGACCAGGTTTATCTATGTATATTGTTGCCATCTGTTGATGAATAAGTGTAGCTATGGCTACAGTTTTCTCTGTAAATCGCATTGAGCATTCACAAAGTGGAATATATTCTGTGTAAATGAGATCCTCTATTATCACTTCTAATGAGAGTATGTGTAAGACCTTGTGAGTCAGTAAAGTAAGAGTATGGGTTTAATACCCCTTTCACCACCGGGACCTCCGACTCTAATGTCCATCGCTGATATGTGAAGTGTGCTGACAAAATGAGTTACTTCTCGAATTTTATCCTTATATAAATGGAAATTGACATATTAACTTTATAAGTGGAGTTTGTACAATTTGTAAGTATGGAATAATAAAAGACACGGTAGACTTGAAGAAAATGGCATCAATTGAAAATTTATAAATCTGACCCAAGTGTCCATTTTCTGGCTGATATTTCCATTTTTGGACTGCGATAAGTAACTCATTTTGTCAGGACTCCTCACATATGATTGAGCCAAACAGGTCGAAAGACTTAAAAACTTCACGAGATGACCTGAGTTCAAGAGCACTCTGTTAAGGATTTGAGCCAGGGCTGTCCACTTCATGGTTGAGCATTGCACCAACTGAGTTAATGCAGAACTATCATGCCAGAACTCGTCTGCTGGGACATTTCAGTAACCCACTTTCAGCACTTTTTAAGGACCCCCGAGCAATTGTTGAGTTCCTGTGCGCTATCGGCATCGCCGACACGTTATGATGCCACAGCGCTAGAAGAGAGAGAGAGAAAGAGAGAGAGAGAGAGA